ATGTTAGTAAAACACTCATAAAAAGAGTTCTACTTGGTGTTATGCAAAGATTCAAATTGTATTGGAAACCTAACACTTATACGAAACTTTTAAACTAAAAATCACTCATTTTGGATGAGTTGAGAGGAAGATATGATACATTTAGGTCACATGCACACATCTGTCATTAGTTGACAGATTGCACACTTGACTTAAATAAATAGGTTCATGCCTCAAAACATCATATTTTTTAGTGAAACTGGATTCAAATGAATCATAACTCATAAAAGAACGTTTTAGAAGAAGAATAATACATTGAGAACAAGTAAATAGAAAGATATTAACATTCAAAGTAAGAGTTACCTACTGGTGGTTTTACAGTTTGCACACCTATAGAGTTTTAGGTGCTTGGAGATCAAAAACTCCATAATTTTATGTGATTCCACTTGCATGTAGGAGAAAACCCATAGAATTAACTCTCAAAAGAATAATCATCCTTTTTCATTGAGTTATGAGAGAGATATGATCGATGGTACACACATATACAAATCTGTCAAAATCGGACAGATTGCATGTTCATCTTATTTTAAGTAAATGAAACCTCAAATCACCACCATATCGAGTGAAAGCGATGGCATTTGAAAGGTATCTCATTAAAATAACATCCAGAAGAAAAATCAATAATTTTGGATGATTATCCAGAAAGTTATGACCATTCAAAGTAGGGTTTACCTACTGAAAAATCTCATATGCATAGATATAACGTTTTGAGCATTTGGGGGGTCAAAACTCAATGATTTTGAGTGAGACCAAATGCATTGCAACCACAACTCAGTAAATAAACTTTTAAAAGAAACCTAATAACATTTGAACCAGCCATTTAAAAGATATGGACGATTTTGTGCACATACACAAAATATGTCAGCACCAAATATGAAGTTTTTATGAAATAAACCACATAAAATCATGATTTCTTCCTATCTATTTGAGTTATAACGTTTGGGTCATGGATTACCACCATCAAATAAACACCTTTTACATGTTTTTGGTGTATAATCTCACCTTGAAACTTAAGATTTTCGAAACTTATAAAATAGAGGATGAAGAATGCATAAAAATGGGTTTTTCTCCCCAAACTTTCAAGAAAAGTAAAAGGGATGAAGGTATTACCTTGATATTGTATGAGAGAATTGTTGTAGCTTCAARAACTTGCCAAAATGTTGATGATGGAAGGAGAAATCGGCTGGAATGAGGTGGAGAGGAAAGAGACAACTCAAAGTGTCTCTTGAGTTTTTAGGGAGAGAGAGGAGTTAGAGTTTTGGGAATTTGAATGAGTCATGAGGATTAATGATAATTGTTGTTATTATAAATGGAAAATGAGAGGGAATTGAGGGAGAGAGGGGCCGGCCATATGGCCCAATCCAAACCTCAAAATAATTTTTTTTATAAAAACCAAACTCATAATGCACAAAAGCCCAATTTCTCAATTTTGACATTTTTCTTCACTTTAAAAGCCCACGATGACTAAATTTATTTAAATAGAAAGGTTTTATATTTAAAACACTAAAACTTAGTGTTTTATATAWATTGGGTATAAWTTARAGCATTTGGTACTGTATAKGACGTTTCAGATRATTTCGGRYCGGAACCGGACTTTCTAAGCAACTGCCGGAAATTCTTAAAAATTTTCAACTAAACTAACCTAACTAACTCCTAATCTTATAAATTACCTTCAATAATACTAATATAACCTTAATAAAAGCTAACATGAGATTTCGAATTTGACTGCTGTCAAACTCTATTACCCACCAACTTTATGAAAGGATGTCTGCTCATGATTAAGCTTTTGTACTATTCACTGTAGCAAAGGACAAGTCTTCCCCTTAAGGCTTGACAAGCGTTCTAACCTTACCATGTTGCATTAAATGTGCATTTAATGCAACAGGTATAAATTGATGTATTTTACCTCCATGCAGAGATACTCTTAACCTAAACCTTACTCTGAGCTTTCTTACGCTTAAGTAAAAGAACACACATCTAAGAACAAATACGCTCATCTTCAAGAGCAAGTTAGAATCCCTTTCATTGCATTCTAAACAAGTTCTCTCCCAGATAGAACTTACTTTCTTCTATTTCTTTAACAGCAAATCTTTTCTCATTTGCTAAGATTAAGTGTGTAAACTTAAGATTGTTTAGATAGGTTTTTCTTACCTTATCTTTTAGCAGTCAGTCTTGTAAAATCTGTATTGATCTTCTCTTATCAATATATATTTTAAATTTGAAAATATTGTGTTTGTATTCACCCCCTCCCCTTCTACAAATTGTTATACACATCTTGTAGATCATAACGGGACCAACAGGTGTGTTAGTCATTCAATTAGTGTTATGTAATTTTATACTATAAAGCAATGGATACATAGGATAAGAGTCAGTTGTTGGCTTAAAATGGGACTACTGTTTCTGTATTCATGCTAGAAATTGTGGATGTTAGAGGACTTAAGGTACAAATTTGAAGAGTTGTACTCGATGACCATGCAGTCCGTTAGTTGGCTGGCTTTTGTAGTAAAATAGTCACCTAGGTAATAAGCGGAGGACTCAAACTACAGACCGTGAGTGGTTGAACTTGATGACTGTATGATCCCTAGTTCGGGCTCATTAACGTTGATTTGTGGTTTATTCACATGTTCGCCACCCATGACGGATATAGATCTCCCCCATTACCAAATGTTGTTATTTTCAGATAGCGTATTATCCATGTTTTCGACATTGTTTTGAATATGGAGCGTTTTCCATTTTATGGTTTTCGGTATGGAACCTTATTTCCCCTCTTAGAGCATTTATTATAAATAAAGATTTTATACATGTCTACAATATTTGGACACTAAACCTTATCGATATTTTGGAGTGAGTGTTGAGTTTTGATTTCGTATCGAATGAGTATTATGATTTAGAGTTTTCGTTATAAAGATAAGGCTAAAACCTAATCAGGTTATCCGTGAAACAGGTGGTCGTCCTGAGATTAGTCGGCTTGCATAGCGGGTTGAATATCTAGATTAATAAAAAAATAGTGAGTTTTGAAAAAGGTGTTGCTTTTATGATGAAGGCAATTCGTTTGAGAAATTATTGTTTAAATAACCTGTCCTTCAGTTTTACTATTTTATAATTAAAAAGAAAACTGCTTGAACTCACTAGGCGTTAAGTCTAACATTTTTATTTGTCGACATATACATCAGGTCTTCGTTGGGGGTTTGGTACTAGAAACATTGTGAAGAGTTGAGTGCCACTTAGATGCACGGAAAAGATCTAGCTAATCGATGACGTCTCCTGCAATTGGAGATAACGACTGTTATTGGGTTTTAGTAACACCCGACTTGACCTAGCCTTGATGTAACATTTGGTTTGTCTATTATTGATGTTACATGCAGATTCGCTATTTCAAATAATTTTATATTAATTTATAGAAATGGATTTACCCTATATTTGATGTATTATCAGAAATTTTAAATTAGTCATTCTTTCCAAATTTCAGGGTGTTAGAAAATGATCAAGCATCCTATGCAATTTTAAGTTTTAAATTTTATTTCTTAACAAGAAATTATATTAAGTTTGTATTCCCGGTTTACAATAAAATTATCTCTCACATTCCATTGCACAGATACACAAATAGCTAATGTTTTTTAGAATCGAGATGTATCATGTTGCATTCGTTGGTATGTTTCTAGCGATATACCAAAAACTTCATCCTTGTGGTTTGTTGAAAATTGCTATTTATATCATTCCTATGATTCTCAATTTATAGTTGTTTCATCCTTCTGATTTATAATTTATTGCTGTTTTTTTTTCTGATTTATAATTTATACTTTTAAATGATTTAATTTTACACACAAAATTCACAATGGATTTCATCTTTCATGTTAAAAAATTGAATTTTTATTATTTATATATATATATATATATATATATAGGTTGGTTATTATATAACTCATGACATTTGTGTAACCAATACAACTCAATCTCAGCCGTCCATTTCATTTGATTAATATGTGATTTTATAGAAGTTTTGATTGTTTCCTAATATAAAATATTGATCATAATTAATGAACCATATTTATCTTCCATAAATATTCAAATCATAATAAATGAACTCTTATAATTTCCATAAATATCTTAATTTATTGGGTTGCATTGGTTGTACAAATACAACAGGTTGTATTTAAAACAAACTATATATATATTTTTTGAAACTATATATATATATATATATATATATATATATTTAAAACTATATATATATTCTTATACTTTCGTATTACTTTTGTTGTTTATCATAAAAAACACAAATCGTAATTTGAAACTAAACGATTGTTTATCAAACTTGGTCATTTATCTTATTGATTGAACATAATAAGGATCGAGAATTTTATTTGGTAAGAGACAAGACAATGACTAAGAGTCTTACTCATTAAATGGGAGTGTTGACTCTTACTCAATAAACGTTTATCAGACGGTAAATGCTTATCAACAATTCATTTTAATTATCAGGAATGTTACCCATAAGATAAATGGAAATAATGACCCTAACCGTTTATTATCTAATAAAGACCCCTAATTATTTACAAATATCTCAATAGATAAAGTGAATAAACATTAACTACATGGTGGTGTCTGATTGGTTTGAGCTTGAGCTTCAAAGATCAAAAGTATCTGAAGGTCTCAAGTTCAGATATAAAAAGAAATAAAAATCCCCTTTGTAAATGTTCAAATGCGGTTACTCCGGACTACCCGCCAAACAGATAATCGTCATGAAATCAGTCAGCTTGCATAACGAGTTGAATATTTGGATTAATAAAAAAATTAAATAAACACGTCAACAAGATAAAAGAATCAATATATATATATATATATATATATATATTATTTTATTTTTAAAAGTTGATCAGATTCTTATAACACAAACAAAACGATGTGCGATGAAATATTCCTTCTACTTTCTTCCGGAAGAACCGAATTGTCCATTACGTAACTACCATAAATCAAACCCCAAATCCAACTACATACCAATATACATTGGCGGCAAACCACACATTTACCATCTATCAATACCACCATTAACCAACCACGTATTTGCTCTCCAAGATTGAAAATTCTGGTTGCTTCTTTTGATTTCTCATACGATTTTGGTTCTCAGATCAGATTCGAAGCGATTGAATTATGGCCAAAGTTCGTACGATAGGGATTGCGATGGATTACTCGACAACAAGCAAATCAGCTTTGAAATGGGCGATCGATAATCTGATTGAAGCCGGAGACACCATTGTTGTCCTCCTTGTTTTGTCCCCCAAGTCCGATCCCGCCAATAAGAAACTCTTCGCCGATACTGGATCACGTAAGTAAAACATATAAATTCGTTTTTTTTTCTATACGTGAATTTTGAACAGGAAACTCTGGTGATCAACAATTTGTATTGATATGAATCTCACGAAGAATTTTGTAGATATAATTGTTGTTGAAGGATGATCATACAAATCTAAGAGATTGTGTGGTTGGTTTTCCATTAAGTATTTGGATTAATCTGTCTATTTAGATATTTGAATGGGGAAGGTTTTTGTTTGGAAGGATGAATCGGAAGGGGAAAAAGTTAGCTGTCTGCAATAAGCCATTTTTCGTAACATTAAAGCCACTTATTACCATCTAAGGTGGCGTTTGTTTTTTAAGAGGTTTTGAAGTCTGATTTCACTTTTGAATTTTAAGAGATGGTACTAAGTCTGAAATCTGAATCAGTCAGACTGTTTGTTTTTACATCTGAAATCTGAATCAGTCAAGTTTTGGATCTGATAGATTTGGATCGATCTGGGTCATGATTTTACGAGAATATGTGGATCGATCCGGGTGGTGATTGATTTGGAGATTGAATGTCTTGCGAAATAGATTTGGAGGACTAAATCTGGAGGTGAGGATGGAGGGGAGAGTCTGGAGGGAGCGATTAAGAGGATTTAAGTGATTATATTATCATTTTTTTTCAGAGCAAATTAAGAGCTTTTCAGCTCTTATTTATTTAAAAAAAACAAACGGTCTGAAAATAAAAACGTCTGACCGGTTCAGACTTAAAAGAGGCATTAAGTGGTTTTTTAAAAAAAACAAACAAGCCCTAAAAGTCACGTATATCTGAAATTGAGTCTTATTAAGCTGCTAGTAAACATCTAACATTAATCTGGTTGTGATCGATAATGGCATGGATGTGTGCAGCTTTGATACCATTGATCGAGCTCAAAGAGGTAGGCGTGTGCAAGAAATACGGGATCACCCCTGATTCAGATGTCTTTGAATTGCTTGAAACTGTTTCCTCGACTAAGAAGGTAAGTTTTTGTGATCAAAATCCAAACCATTTGTATTTTGGGTTGATATATCCTTCTGCTTCTGGATTAACATTGAAATGGCATATAATTTGGTGGGATGAAGGCTAAGGTGGAGGCGAAGGTGTATTGGGGAGATCCAAGGGAGAAGCTCTGTGAAGCTGTAAGTCATCTTAAGCTCGATTGTCTTGTTGTTGGCAGCAGAGGTCTTGGTCCACTCCAAAGGTATGTATCATCCGTAATCCAATCTATTGCTGTTGCAACTATCAAAATACATTATTATCGCGATCATAAATCGGTGATACAACGGTTCATATAATAATTATAATTACATATATAACTCAATATATTATAGGCGAAGGATTCTGTGAGAAGCGTAAGAAGAGATCTGAATTAGTGATCACTTTTAATCTCATGCCCATATATGAATTATGCTTTAGAAGAGAATTGATCTGGTGCATCTCATTAGTGTTCACATTCAATTAGGATTGATTCAAGAATGAAAATCTTTTCTTACGATTCAAACTATATTGCTATAAAAATCTAAACTTTTTTTATACTTGACTTCTACAGACAAAAAAACATTTAAATTTAATTTTCAGTTTTAACTGTTTCTTACTTTTTTTGATTTATTCTTTGTAATTTTTCTTTATTACTCCCCTTAATTTTATGTTTTTTTACGTCTCTCACACTTAACACTAAAACGCTGACCCAATTAGTCTTGGAGCCGTTTACCAAATATCTATCCGGTAAGTGCTTACCAATAAAATTTAACACTATTATATACTTATCGGGTAAGATTTTAGTCCACCAAAACGACATTGCATACAACAATTTACCAGGTAAGTGTTTACCATGATAAAAGTCGTCCCCCGCACTTACAGGGTAAGACTCTTGATCTTTGTCTCACTCTTATCAGTTAAGATTCTTGGTACTTATCATATTCATCCGCTAAACGATCCTTTACTCTGAGGGATAAAAACATCAAAAAATTTGTTTGAACTTGGACTCCAAAGGTCAAAGTGTTTGGAGGTCTTAGGTTCAAATCCAAAGAAAAATAAAAATCTCATTATGGCCACAGAGGTTTAATTGTGATGACTTCGGACTACCCACAAAGCAGGTAGTCGCTCTGGGATTAGTTGACTCGCATATCGGGTTGGATATCCATGTTGATAAAAAAAGGCAAAGAAACTTTTGAATGATTTGTTGGAAACAAAAAACCTACAAAAAACATTGTATGTTTTAAAGAATCTGATATGCATTAAAATTTTGTATGCTTTTTAGTAAAAAAGAAACATAAAAAACCATTCAAAATTATGTTTCTTTTTTATACCAAAAACAAGCATTTTAAATGCATTTATTTATTTATTATCTATATTATATTATAAAGTATTTAAGAAAAACTTTTAAAAACCATTTTTTATGCATGAAATACTATATATTGATGCATATTACTTAAAATTTAAGATTACAAGTAAATTATGTCTAAGTACAACTTATTAAAGTTCCATGCTTGAATTCGTGTAATTAACTGTGGATAAACATAATCAAATAGAAAATAAACATCTCTTTAAAATATAAAAAATCTAAAATATAATTAGGATAATTATCGAGTTCTAACAAAATAATGAACTATTATTTTTATAACAAAATTATATTATTAAATTAAATATAAATTACTTCGTTATTAAACTTAAATTAAATTATAATTAAAAAAATTTGAATTAAAAAATTACATAAAAAATAAGAATTTTAAATAGTTAATTTGATATTAATATCGTGTCAAATTTTTATGATATCTTTAAATTTATATTTTATTCAAAAATAAAAACGTCATCACTTCTTCAAAATCATATAAGACCATATTATAACATCGATTGAAATAAAAAATAAAATAAAATATTAAAATCAAGATGTATCTTGTTGTATTATCGAATACTTTTCTGGTTATTATTATTATAATAAAATAATTGTATTACAGGGTGTTCCTTGGAAGCGTGAGCAGCCATGTGGTGCAAAACGCCACGTGTCCAGTGACCGTTGTTAAGTAAGGAATGCAAATGGAGAATATTTTGGCTGCTATATATTTTGTTTACATGATTTTTGGAATTTTGACCCCCGTGTGTGTGTGTGTGATGTTGGTTGGTTTTCTTGATTGTTTTGTTCATTAGACCTAATTTCTAAAATAGTTGGATGGATTGGAGTGGCAATTCAGCGGTTGCCACGTGGTAAACCGGTGAATTGTGCGTTTGTTAGGGTCTTTTTTCTGTTGCCTTTTTTGACGATTGTTTTTGTCTCTGCTCTTTGTAGAAAGGTTCGTTTTTAGGGCGGTTTCATGTAATGCGGTGTCAGTTTTCTTGATTTCAATAAAATTATTGGCTTATGAAAAAGATGTTTGTTTAAGGAGTTAAGAGTTTGAAGAATGTTGATTTGAAAGAGATGTGAAGATGTAGTTTTGGGAGATATTTTTCAAACTATATTCTCTTCGATGATGATATTGTGGAAATATAAACCAAGTTTTTGTCTAAATTATATATATATATATATATATATATATGGTATATTTCAAATGCAACCATGTTTATTTATACAACTAATGCAACTCAATCAATTGAGATATTTATAAAAATTATGAGAGTTTATTTATTATGATTTAAATATTTATGGGAAGATAATTATAAAATGTCAAAAAAATTAATAATGTGAATCACATGTGATTTTGATGAAAATTGAGATTTTTAAAATATACATATGATTAGAAAAACATTTTGAAAAAAATTAATTAATTATGAATCACATACGATTTTGACGAAAATTATAATTTTTAAAATATTGTTTTAAATAAAAAATGAATTATTTAAGTAAAAAACTAAATACATTTATTTTAAATGCATTAAATATAAAATATTTTTTTAAATAAAAAATTAGATCATTTTTGTAATTTAAAGGTAGAATCTTAAATAATTTTTATATAATTGAATTACTTTTATACCCTTGTTTTTATTTATTTTTAAAATTAATTATTTAAAATATTATTTAATAAAACGATTGGTCTATAAATAAGTATTCTTTTAAATAAGTATCATTTTGGTTTAATACATTCTCTCTCTCTCTCTCTCTCTCTCTCTATATATATATATATATATATATATATAGGTGTCTGTTCAAACGAGAACAATCATATTTTATGAAAATGCAAGAACACTTTTAAGCCTCCAATTTAATTAACCCATGATAAAAATTCGAATAAAACAATTAGTGTTTGTCAACAATTTATAGTTATTTTAGATTTTTTTTTCTCTCTCGTATTGCTGAAATCATCATAGAGGGTGTTTGAGATTATTTATTTAAAATGTTATTAACTTATTTCGGTGTGGTACCGATAATAAAGAGTTTTTAGTGTTTGGATAGAGAAAGAAAGAAAATGCTTATACCAGTTTGGCACCAGCAATAAGGAGTTTGTAATAAGTTACTTCCTTTTAACTTATTAATTTATTCCGATGCAGTACCAATAATAATGAGTTTTTAGTGTTTGGATGAAAAAAAAAAAAGGATATCTCATCTGTTTTATCAACTTAATCCAAATACTTTTTATAAAACTTCAGTTTGCCACGTGTAAATTGATAAACACTTTAAAAAAAACACAAGTTATTTTAAATAAACAATCCCAAATTTCGACGAAACAGGCATTTAAATGCTGATCTTAAAAATCAACCACTTTATGTCCATGGAATTGGGACTTTCCATTCAAATTATGGCCAGTATGAGTGGTAGTGGTGGTTGCCGCCTTTGTGTGTTGGCCGGCAATTCCAGAAAAATAAACAAATCCAACCAGATGTCAACTTCACAGATGATGCCTATGCTGTGAACTCACCGATGCTTCATATAATCCAAACAAAACAAAGGTTAAGACTCTACCCTGCACCCTCCCATACAACACTACATGAAAACAATGAAGGGTTCTCACCATCCACTTCTGCTGCTTCTGTTTCTGCCTTTTGTTTCCAGGTCTCTTGCATCAGTAGCCGCCGATGGTTCGGTCTATGAGACCTTTCTCGATTGTATGTCCAACAGAACCTCATCTGATCAGGTCTCGTCGCTCATCTTTTATCCCAACAACTCTTCATACACTCCCACTTTACAGGCTTACATCAGAAACCAAAGGTTTAATACTTCGACTACTCCCAAACCGTTGATCATCGTCACCCCATTAAACGAAACCCATGTCCAGTCTACAGTCGTTTGCTCCAGGAACCAAGGAATGAACCTCAGAATCCGAAGCGGGGGCCATGATTTTGAAGGACTGTCGTATGTCTCCTATACTCGCTTTGTTCTACTCGATCTGTCTAATCTTCGGTCGATTGATGTCGATATCGAAGAAGAAACTGCAATGGTTCAAGTAGGTGCCACCATCGGAGAACTTTACTACAGAATATGGGAGAAAAGCAAAGTTCACGCTTTCCCCGCCGGAGTCTGCACAACGGTTGGAGTTGGCGGTCATATAAGTGGAGGTGGATACGGTGTTTTGTTGCGGAAATACGGACTGACCGTGGATAATGTCGTTGATGCGATGATTGTCGATGTTGAGGGCAGGGTTTTGGATCGAAAGTCAATGGGGGAAGATCTTTTCTGGGCGATCCGAGGAGGAGGAGGTGCAAGCTTTGGAGTCATACTCTCATACAAAATACGACTCGTTCGAATTCCTAAAACTGTTACCGTGTTCCGAGTTTCGAAAACGTTGGAGGAAAATGTAACCGACATCGTTAACCGGTGGCAATACGTAGCTGACAAGATCGACAATGATCTATTCATAAGATTAAATTTAAAAGCTGATAATGTCAAGAAGACGATTCTAGCAGGTTTTACGGCACTCTTCCTAGGAGATTCTAATCGCCTCGTGTCCGTAATGAACAACAGATTTCCCGAATTGGGTATCCAGAAACAAGATTGCAAGGAAATGAGTTGGGTAGAATCCGAGCTTTTCTGGTCGAGCAACGATAACGCAACTGTGAAAGTTCTGCTAGAAAGACGCCTTTTTTCTGCTAACTTTGCAAAACGGAAGTCGGACTACCTACAGATCCCGATTCCTAGAAACGAGATCGAATCTTTATGGCAAAAAATGATGGAACTAAGCGTTGTGGGACTAACTTTCAACCCGTATGGTGGGCGAATGAGCGAAATCCCAGATTGGGAGACTCCATTCCCGCATCGAGTCGGAAATATTTTCAAAATTGAGTATGTTGTTAACTGGGCCGAAGGAGGGTCGAAAACGGAGGCTTATTACGTTAACCAATCGAGACTTTTGTACGATTTCATGACTCCTTTTGTGTCGAAGTCCCCGAGAGGCGCATATTTGAACTACAGAGATCTCGATATCGGTACGAGTAGCGTCGGGAATAATAGCTATGCCGACGGTAAAGTTTATGGAGAGAAATATTTCAAGGGCAATTTCGAGAGATTGGTGAAAGTGAAGACGATGGTTGATGGAAGTAATTTCTTCACAAATGAACAAAGCATCCCACCTCTGAAAGCCACATGGAAGAATAACTTTTAAAATGAAACCAATTTTATTTTTATTTTTATTTTGGAGAAAAGACTTCAAGACCAAAATCAGAGTGCATTGTTGGAGAAAAGACTAAAAAACGTATATCCAACAATCCATTTTCATGTTTGGAAATGTTACTTGATAAGGTAAGTGATGGTAGTGATTTTTGCTGATAAGCAGTAATGATGATAACTTTTACCGATAAGCACCGAATGCAAGAAACTTCCTTCAAAAACCAAAATCAAATTCATACCATCTTCTAGAAGTGTCTAAAAAAACGTTGTAGAACAATATCATATGATTTTCTTGTAGATTTACTGCATAATTCAAAACGTCCTCGAACATCTTTTTGACACACCAAACTACAACAAAATATGTTGTAAAAAGCTGTTTTCAGAGGACTTAAGTTTTTACTACCAAACATTTAGGCATCCTATGTAAATGTGTTACAATAAGTTGATATAATGTTTTTAGGTGTTTTAACACATTTTTAGGACTCTTTTAAAATAAAACATCATAGCAATATTTTTATACAACATTATCTCAAAGTATATTATAAAAATAAACGTCCTCTAAAAAGATGTACTCATATGACATTTCTAAAAAAACTAAAAGGCAATTTAATTCGTAAAGTGTTTTAAATACTTGTTTGGAAACCCAAATATGTTGTATCAACTTATTATTAGATTTAGGGGTGAACTTGGTATGGTATCAAGTTCTTTCTTTCAATACCATGTACCAGTCAATTAAAATTAAAATGCAAAATTCTATATTGTGTAACGACCAACTGCATTTGATACCAATGCTTTTCGGTTGATACTGGTTTTGTACTAACTACAAGTAATATGTACGAAAAGCTTTCGACGTGTACTTTAGTTGGCAAATTAGTGGGTCGATTATTCTTAAATACAAGACAGTCCCGGGTTCGATCTCATGGCCCCTGCTCGCTAAATGAGCTAAAAATTCCCCCAACATTAGTATCCTTGAAGAATGGTTCTATGCGGGAGCGGTTGAGGTTTGCATACTTGGTCTAATTATACTGTGATTCCAGATTCATTTTTCCCTTGTTGATTCTTCACGACTTTGAGTTCTGTTTTGTTCAAACCGTAACCGGATTTCTTCTACAATCGTGTGAATCACTTTCCAAATTCGATATTTCGACCGTATATGCCTGGTATCACGAAATCCGAATTGGGATAATTGTAAAAGCAACAATCTTGATTTTGGCAGAAATCAAGATCAAAACCAGAGAGAATATCAAGTATATCCAAACTTCCGTGTGTATCCCAAAAACTGATCATCCGAAAATTAAATCTCAAAACGGGAGTTACCAAGTTATAGAATTTACAATCATGCGACAGAAAATTCAAGAATTTTTCATTATAAACCCTATACTTATATAATTGCGGGACCCCATTTTGCGTTCAGGGGGCGTTGCCCCCTAAACATTACCGGGACCGACTTAGACTAATACAAGTGTGCACTCCACACTCTCCATACTTGTTTTAGAACAAAGTTCAATCCCCTTGAAACACACGTATAAAATCCATTACACTAAATGTAACCGGTGACACTAAAATCACCAACATGTTTTAGCTTTTCCATCATTCACCGGGATGGTTGATTTTCTTGACCGTAGTTCTATCACACGACTCGCAGTTCTATCGCTGGTATGCATGGTTGAAGTGTTGCACTCCACTTTGGTCAACCTTTTTTCAATCTCACAATGAACCTTCTTGCAGTTGCAGCCATGGTCAACCCTCGCAGGAGCTTTCTTATTCTTGGTTGGGTGTTTCTTGCGACCTTCCTGCTTCCATGGAGCTGGCTCTAATGGAATTCTTGCAACTGCCTTTACCAATTCCTCTTCGAGGTGAAACAGGAACGTGTGTTTAGATTCCTCACCTTTTCTTGATCTCGAAAGTGAAACCATTCCAAACGGGGTTTGATCATCTTCAAGCTCTCATTACCTTTCATGAAATCTTGTAAAACCTCCCTTTAGAACAGAAGGTTGAAATGGTAATTTGTTGTCACTCAGACTATCCATTTAGAACAATTCATTTATGTTAAAGATATGGCAAGGAGATTATTGAATCCCTACAATAACAAATCATTTTTAATGGGACAGTTCTCTTCAAATAATATGGTTTATGATATTACCGGAAAAGAACCATGACCATTCATTGTTGCTTATTTCTCAAAGAGAGAACATTACATGTTATAAAACACTTAAATCACATCTTGATAAATATATCTAGGGTTGTAAATGAACCGATTGTTCAGCAAACCGTTCGGCAGAAAGTTCGTTTATTTAATAAATGAATGAACATGAACAAATTTTTTTTGTTTGTTTAATTAAACGAACGAATATGAACAAGGGTCTCGTTCGTTTATTTATATTCATGAATGTTCGTTTATTTACCGTTCGTTTATGTTCGTTTATATATTAAATTTAATATATAATCTTTTATTTATTTACTTTGAATTCAAATAATATTTATTTATGTTCGTTTAGCATGTTAACGAACGGACATAAACGAACACAAACACACCTGATTTCTAAACGAACGAACTCGAACACAAAGATTTTTGTTCGTNTTAATCCCATCCCTATCACTGACTTGTGCACTAAGTCCCGCGCCAAACTTTTAGTAAGATGGTCCGCCAAATTTTGTTGCGATTTTATAAACTCCACCGATATAACACCATTCATGATCAATTCTCTAATCATGCTATGTCTAACACCTAAGTGTCTAGACTTTCCATTATACACTTGGCTATAAGCCTTAGCTAATGTAGCTMCACTATCACAACGAATAGAYAATGGTGCAATCGGCTTTTTCCACAATGGAATCTCATATATCAAATCTTTTAGCCACTCAGCTTCCTTACCAGCTGCGGCTAACGCAACAAACTCCGATTCCATCGTTGAGTTTGTAATGCAAGTTTGTTTCTTCGATGCCCAAGAAATAGCACCACCTCCAAGCAAGAATACCCAACCACTAGTAGAAGAATGATCTTCTACATTAGATATCCAACTTGCATCCGAGTATCCTTTTAACACCGAAGGATATCCTAGATAACACAAACCATAGTCCATGGTTCCCTTCAAATACTTGAATACTCGTTGTATAGCTTGCCAATGTTGTGTACTAGGATTACTTGTGTACCGACTCAACCTCCCAACGGCATAAGCAATGTCGGGTCTCGTGCTAGTCATAGCATACATCAAGGAACCTATAGCTTGAGAGTATTCCAATTGTGAAATAGCCATGCCTTTATTAGGCATTARTTTCATGCTAGGATCCATAGGAGTACTCACGGGAKAACATTCAYTATAATTGAATTTCTTGAGAATTTTCTCAATATAATGAGATTGCGTTATAGCAATTCCTCTGTTCAACCGTTTAATCCTAATTCCTAGGATTACATCCGCCTCCCCCATGTCCTTCATGGCAAATTTTGATGATAATAAATTCTTGGTTTTAGCAACTTGAAGTTGATCCGTATAAAAAATTAACATATCATCAACATATAAGCATATGATCACACCTGAGCCAGAATCATCAAATCGGCTATAAACACATTTGTCGGATTGGTTTAAAGCAAAACCACATGACAAGATAACTTCATCAAACTTTTGATGCCATTGTTTAGGAGCTTGCTTTAGCCCGTACAATGACTGCACAAGTTTACACACCTTATGCTCATTATCGGGCATAACAAAACCTTCCGGTTGTTTCATGTAAACTTCCTCATCAAGGTCACCATTCAAGAATGCTGTCTTGACATCCATTTGATGAATAATTAGATTGTTAAAAGAAGACAATGCAATCAACAATCTAATAGTTGAAATACGAGCTACTGGAGCATATGTATCAAAATAGTCAATACCGGGTTTTTGCCTAAAACCTTGAATGACTAACCGGGCCTTGAACTTGTCAATAGTCCCATCAATTTTCATTTTCTTTTTGAAAATCCACTTGCAACCTAAAGGCTTGGAGCCCTTTGGCAAATCAGACAACACCCAAGTGTTGTTCTCCATGATTGATGACATTTCATCATCAATCGCTTCTTTCCAAAAAGCAACATCTCTAGACTCCATGGCCTCCTTAAAAGGTCTTAGGATCATCCTCAACATGAAAAAAGTATGAATATTGCATCCCCACTTCATCTCTTGAACCTTCAACCAAATACAATTGGAAATCCGGTCCAAAGTTTTTCGCAATTCGGCCTCTTTTGCTTTTCCGGGGCTGTTGTGTTTCGGGAATTGAAACACCACCCAAATCTTCTAAATTTTCTGAATTTTGCTCTTCATTAGAGCTAAAAATCAGATCCTYAGGCCTTTGAATTGATGAAAAACGCATCTCATCAAAAATCGCATCACGCGACTCAATTACGGTATTAATCGACACCGAATCATTAGGTTCTATTACATAAAACCTATATGCCTTGGAATTTTGTGCATATMCAATGAATATACAATCAATTCCTCTTTCACCTAAATTTTTCCTTTTAGGTTCGGTAAGTTTCACAACAGCTCGACATCCCCAAATTCGAAAATAACTCAAATTTAGAGCTTTCTTATACCAAAGCTCATATGGGG